ATTTAAAGCAGGGTGCCATGTGGGCTTTTACTTGGAAGGCTCACAGTGATCAGCAAGCCTTTCTTCTACCTTAAGGCTGAACTCCCATGCACAAGTTCTCAATGGAGCTAGCTTCTCAGTAGGCATATATAGAATTGTTCTGTGAGTATCCTCAGGTTTTCAGCCTGGCAATGCCAGAATCTCATTTAGAGCGGGAACGATTCCATTTACACCTGTGGCTAGTGAGGACAGGGAAGGATCCAGGACCTGGAAGGGGCTATCAAGTTAGGGAAGACATGTCATGGTGGGCCCAACTCAGAGAATATAAACAGCTGGGACAGGGACAAATGCAGAAAGGAATACAGTGGAGGTGTGGAGCCAGAAGCATGGGATGCAATGGGAAGGGTAGGGCAGGGACAGGAACAAAGGGGGAGAAATGGTGGCATGGCACAGGGCTCATTCTGCTGCACGTTCCCTTTGGCACTGGCGTGCGGAGGCTCCTGCTAGCTGGGCCTAAGGGATGGCTGGTGGAGGAAGAGCAGAGCAATGGTTTCTGTAGTGAGTTTGGACTGGGAATTGTGGGTAAATAACAGGTCACTGCAATTGGTGTTGCAGTTCTGAGCCCAAAGATGGGATAAGAGGATGGGGAAAGGAGGCTGTTAACTGGCTTTCTCCAATAAAGCAAAAGGTAAACTATGGAAAACCTCCATGTAACACTTTTTTTCCTATTGTGTAGAATGAGCACCAGCTGGCTTGGAGGTCTTGCAGCCAATCAAGGCCTGATTGCCTACCAGTATGAATATAAAATTGCCTCTTTGGGTGTTTTAATATAATGTTTAATTTGCTATTAAAAAGTAATGTATTTTTATTGACCATGAGGTATGATGAACTCACAGAACATCACCTTATCTTCCAACTTTCCCCACCCCTTCCATTTTTCCATTCCTTCTAAAAAGCAGGTGAACTGGCTGTTAAATCCACAAGTCTTCCAATATTTAAAGAAGCTAAACAAAACAGGGTGCGCCTATAGATGGAAGAAACCAGCTGAATGCCATGTTAAGAGATTATTTAAAAGTGTGGTACTACCATCATAGATTATACCATCATGGCTCTTCAATCACCCCAGATTTCAGTTGAGGAAGTTTACTAATTCAACAGAGTCACTAAGTATTGCACAGGTATGTGTAAATGGGGCTTCACTGGCACCCTGAGAAAACTGAAAGGCTCACTAGTAACAATGGAAGTCTGAGCTGTGATCCTTTCATACTGTGGATGTGACTCATCCAGCCAGCCTGGGTCTCAGCAGACACTGACAGGCATGTGGTTTGGTTTCCACATTCCCAACATACTCAGAGATAAGCCAGTGTTGTTTGTCATGCTTTGTACTTCACATATTGGCTAGACTTTCTCTCTAGAATGTAAAGGGCAGACGGGCATCTTACCAGGCCAGACAGGATATCCTCTGGGAAAAAGGCACTGCACTCCAGGCAAACGCATTGCTTGCCTTAAGTGCCGTTTTAACTATTGCAGCTCGGTGTCTCCAAGGACCTGCATCCGTCGATGCTACAGACAAGTCCACCACTGTGATGACCACAACCGGAATGTGTGGAAGGTGTACTTGTCGTGTCCCCAGCCCTGCTCCAAGGAATTTTAGTGCCTCAGCTTGAGAATCCAAAAGGTACTCCATCTTATTCATATGGGCCACAAGCTCCAGGAGGTTCCCCCGTTTGTTGTGCAAACTGACATTCAAGCCAATGGGTTTGTGTAATGTGCTCGCTCTCTCTCTCTCTCTCTCTCTCTCTCTCTCTCTCTCTCTCTCTCTCTCTGGAAAGACACTACTGTATCTATTAAAAGTGTGCATTTATGTGTGCGTGTATGGTATGCATTTTGAAGCTGCTTCAGCTGAAAAGCTTGATATGTCACTGTTTCCCTTTCCAGGCAAACTCTGGTGTGAGAAATCTCAAGGAAAGGAATCAGGATGGTTCCAAGTATTTAAATAGGTTTGCTTCTAATCTTCAGTGATAAAGGGTAAGTTGTGGACCCAAACCCATGTAGTGTCAAGGGTTGCACAACTGATTTTGCAATTTCTCACAAAAGCAGCACTCAGAAATTCCGATTCGCTCTCACCATTCCCACTCCAGGATATGGAAAGGGCTATGTCTGAATGGGCTTCCGATAGTATCATAGTGCACTTCCAGGAAGTACTCACTGACTGGATTCAAACAACATGGTAGCCACACACAAGGGATTGACTGTGGGTTGTTGCTGAAACAAGAGCTTTTGTGTTGCTCATCCCGGCAGAGATCATCAAACCATGCTGGACAACCCATACTTCACAACCCAGGCCATCCATAGGCTCTCTTCATGGGCTTGGTGTGGTTAAAAAGCCACGGCATGTTAGCATAGCTAAGCTTGCTTCTGTAATTCCCCAACCCTGCATTGACTGCTCATAATTCTCTGAGTTCTTTGGGCTGTGAACAGCCACACTGGAGGGTATACTAAAGACCAACATTTTTGGTTTAAGGGGATATATTTCTGGTAGTTTGGGTAGTATTTCATAAAATGTGTTGTAGTTGTTGTTGTTAGTCGTGAAGTCGTGTCCAACCCATTGTGACCCCATGGACAACATTCCTCCAGGCCTTCCTGTCCTCCACCATCCCCTGGAGTCCACTTCAGCTCACGATAAAATGTGTACTGGATTTAAAAACATTAATTGAAGGTGAGAAAAGGCCTGGGGCCTATGGGAATTATTAAAAAATGACTAATATGAATACTTTGGAACAGTATCAAGCACTCTTTAAATTTGTGCACTGGTAGATTCTGAAGCCTTTTGATTTTTTTTCCCTCGATTTGATGCCTACTTATACAGCGATACGTGGTTATACAAGGTTTGGTGCTGGATTTAATTTAACTGAATTGCAGGGTTCCACGATGTTAATAGAGAATGCATTTGAATCCATAAAAGGCAACAGCAGGCCAGCCTCTGGCACTGCCAGGTAGCCAGACTCCTGAAGAACTGCTTCCAGTCATCGCAGAAAATATTTGACTGTGTTGAGGCATCATGAAAAACCTCACTTAAAGGTTGTGTGTGGGTTGTTGTAAGGCATGCGTATCATTCAAGTGGGGATGAATCTTTTTGGAGTCCGTCCTTTTCAGAAGCTTTTGATACCATTGACAGTGCTATTCTTTTAGGGCAGCTGTCTGAGTCGGAAGTGGAGGCACTGCACTGTGGTGGTCCTGCTCCTGCTCCTGCTTTGGATGGTCAGAAGGTGGTGCTTGGGGGATATGGCTTGGGCAAGGTTATGGGTGGTTGAGAGAGAAAAATGAGTTCTGGGAGAGTTGAGGAGGAGGAGCAAAATGGAAAACCGTGGAGCTGTTAACTCGGTATAGTCCTTGGCATGTTGAGATGGAAGCAAGTCCCACTATGTTCAGTGGGGCTTACTTCTGGTACAAGTGCATGTGATGCAGCCTAACAGCTGAGAAATTGACTGTCAGTTGTTATTAGTTGTTAATTACAGTGGCCGATGACACATCACTACAAGAGGGCACAAAGGTGTCACATGCTAATGTGTCTCTATGGATGAATCTTTAAAATTAATTACAGCAGGACCCCCCCCCCCCCGTATCTGTGAAGATCGACTCCAAACCCCCCAGTGGATGCCTGAAATCACAGATAATAACAAGCACTATACAATAGCAAGGGGGCGCCTGCAGGCAGCAAGTAGCAAGACACAATATGAACTCAAACGAACTATATATTCAAATAAACTAAAATCCTTTCCCCCAGTTTTGTTCTTTCTTACCTTACCTTTGTTCTTTCTTTGAGACTTCGTCTGGCACTTTACAACTTCTCTTTCTGGCCAAGGTCAACTGCGGATAACTGAAAATGCAGTAACCGAGCCAGTGAATACAGTGGTTCAGCTGTTCTCAAATTTAAATAAATATCCAGTGCATCTCACCACAGTGTAGACAAGGGTGACCTGTGTGCCCACGTTTTGGTCCACAGTTCGGGGTGCTCGCTGGTGATGGACAACTTCAAGACCCCTCCCTTGTCATGGTACATTATCTTTAAATTGAACTGAACTGGAAAGTCCTTCAAATAAATGATTCCTTCAAATAGAGGCACACCCTCTCTAAATCAGGACTCCATGCCGCCCTACATATGGTGAAGCCTTATTCATTGATCAGACAATGTCTGTTGACCATTAACCTCTTCAAAAATTATTCACAAATCATGTGTTTATGACTCTTCCAGTCTGATGGTCCTTCAGTTAAAGTTGAGGGAGAAGATGGGCTCCAGGTGGATGACATCAAGAAAAGTTGTCCCCTTGGAGTGATGATTTCAAAATGGCAGCAAGGGACACCACTTTGTACTCAGTGAAACCTTGTGGAAAGATGAGCGTTCGATGCCAACACTGCCCAGTGGGTTAAAAGTACCCTGGGAGGCTTCTGCCAGTCTGAGGGCATCAGGGCCAGCCCAGGCTGCTTGGTAGCTTGCAGTGAAGAAGGCAGTGCTGCCAAGCACAGGACATCCCATGCACAGAAGATGACCAGACTGGCTTTGCATGTCATTCATTATTGGCTGCTCCGAACACACTTAGGGGAACGGGTTAGGTTAGGAGGCACAATGCAGGCTCTGTGGTGCACAGACGTCTCCATCACCCCCTGCCTAGGGCAGCTGCCTCACCCAGCCTAATGGTAGGGCTGGCCCTGGAATAGAAAATAGCAGGCTACACTGAATGGCCTGACCTGGCATGAGACAACGACTCATGAAGGCCATTGGGTCCAACCTCCTGCTTTTGTAGGACTCCAGTTTACACCATCCCACTCAGATGGCTGCCAGTTTCTCTTTGAATGTCTCTAGTGTGGGAGAACCCATCACCCCTCTAGGCAGCTGGTTCCACTGCCGTATTGCTCTGACAGTGAGGAAGCTTTTCCTGATGTCCAGCCTGAATCTGGGTTGACACAACTTGAACTGATTATTCCGTGTCCTACATTCTGGCAACAGCAAGAAGAGAACTTGACCTTCCTCTTTGTGGCAGCCTTTGAGGTACTTGTAGAGGGATACCATGTCCCCCCTAAGTCTTCTCAAGGCTGAACATGCCCAGTTCTTTCAACTCTGTTTCCTTACAGTTGCTATCTTTTAATTCCTCCAGGGGCTTCCCATATTTTGTAAGAGCTGTATGTAAAAGTATAAACTTAGTGCAGCTAGAATTTGTGCATGTTTCCCATGTGAAGGCAGAATATTATGGCAAACTTCAAGAAGTTCAGTTTTGTTTTGTTTTGTTTTGTTTTGCATCTGCAGGTAGGGAAAACCACTGTTTTTAAAGAAAAGAATAAGTAATGGCAAATCATTTTGCAAAGATGCAATACATATTGTTATTAGATCACTGTCTTCATTCTGAAGTGGCTTAAGAAGGGGCTATAATGAATTTTCAATAGCTTTCCCAGTTTCATATTTCATCATTATAAATGCAAATATGCTATTATATATTCACACAAGATATTTACATTTATATTGGTTGAAGGAAGCTCCTTGTACTACTGGTTTATCTTACAGACACAGTGAATGATTGGATTGAATTGCTCACAATTTGCTTGGCTGAAAGGTGGCAAATCTAGTTTAAAAAGGGCAAGGGCAGAGAATTGCCAAGGAGATAGACATGTGCATTCACCGCTCTCTGACTAATGGGGATCCATAGTTTCCATCTCCTACCAAATGCGTACCTCCTTCATCATCACCTGTTTCCACCAGATGTAGATCCTTTAACCTGATTGATCACTGTTGCATTGGACTTGAACCAAAACTGGAATGGGGAAAGAAGGGTTTAAGGGGGAAAAAAAACTAGTCCCCATTTTTTTTCTTTTTTGCTTCCATTTGTTTGTTTTTAGATTTGTAAAGAGGACGCTGTGAAATAAGCTTAGAAAATCTTCCCATCTAGGGTTTGAGTAGGCAGCTTGGTTCCCTGTTTTGCTTCCCGACATCATAATCTGAATGGCAGCATGAAAATGTGATTTCTTCACACTGTCTACATATCTATTAGGCCTCAGAAAGAAGGTGTCTGTTTATGTTGAAAAATGGCCCAGAAGGTACAGATCAGTTATAGAGGCTGCTGTAAATTGACATTCTTGAAGAATTCTTGAAAAGGTCAAGGTATGTGTGTGCTATTTTTTACCTCCTAATCATTTTAGCCAGATTTTTTCATAGGCTATAATTCTTATATCAGACATATTTCAAGGTGTCTTCTCCTACCTTTGGGATGGGAGAAGTCCAACAGCCTTGCCTTTCAGCAAAGCATCACTTTGAGGCATTTAATCATCACTGGTGCTTATAGTAGTAGTTTAACCTGGAAAAATATCTGGGGATCTTCAATCTGTATACAAGATTTCACTAGAAACAGCAGTTGCTTTGAAATGGAAGGCTCCAAGCACTACCAGTCAAAAGTATTGTGCAACCATTTCAGGTGCTTCCAGCCAGAGGGTCTCTTGAGCTAGCAATCATAACATTATTCTGCTGTCCCATCTCTTCCCCAGCACAGTGCTAAGGGAGAAGATAGAAGAAACATGGAAAGGCCATGAGTAAAAGACACCATCCTCTGGACTCCACCCATCCATAAACTTGTGTGGATAAGGCAGGTTGATGACACCACAAAACGTTTGACTGACTGACCATCGCCCTTGTCTTTCTCTCCTAAATGTATTTTCTGTAGTCAAGAAAAAGAGGTGCTGGGGGAACACATGAAGGTAACAAATGGTAGACCAAATCATCTGGACAGCATGTCCAATTCTGCATTGAAGCAGGGCAATTGTACACTAAAAAGCTTTGTCTGGAAACACTGCATGTACAGAAAGTAAATTATGTACCCAGCATGGAAATTTACTATTATGACACAAAGAAGAAGCAGAAGAAAATGAAATAGCATTTCAAAGATCCATTCCTGCTTCCCAACAGGTCAATTTCCTTCATTCTTGTATCAAGCAATTTCATGCAAGCCTTACTTAGTTCTAAGCAAAGGGTTTATTGTAACCAGAAAGCAAGGGCAGAACCCTCTTCCTGACAACAAAAAGCATTTAATTGCCTGCATCCCACTGTTGTGGTCTCCCTCTGCAATTAATGAAACTAATGGGTCTTTTCTTTCTTTTTTCGTCAGTCGTGTCTGTAGGTGGAGTTTTGCTTCCAGCATTATCTGAACAGCTGATCTTTCCCACCAAAACCCCTGGTGCCAGGGTGTCCGATAACTCACTGACTGCTGGAAGTGCATTTCAGAACAAACACATTGAATTACCCAGAGGATATTTACAACTGCTGACCCAACTCCCAATTTCCTCATGTTGAGCCCCTTTTAAGACAATGCATGTTATGGCACTCGCTGGCTCCCCAGCTGTACTTTCAGAAACTGATTACAGACCCAAGAATGAGAAAATGATGTACTTAGGGTTGTGTGATAGGCAAGCAAGGAAAAAGACTTGGAAAAGCTTCTCAGGGGCTTTTTTTTTTTTTTTTTTTTTGGCCTTGTGTTTGTTTGTTTTTACAATGATATCACTGGTCAGCCTGACGGAGAACCTCCCCTCCTTAAACATCCTGCATAGTCTGCCGACAACAAATTGTGCACCACACCCTGAAAACTAGGGCTGGGATATACTTTCCCTAGTTAGTCAGAAATATTAAAAAATATTATTATTATTATTATTATTCAAGCACAAATCTGTGTATCACATTTACAAGTTCATCACATAAATAAAGGAAGCTAAATTCTCAAAGTAGCACAGAATTGTGAACGTCCAAGCAGCAGCAGCAGCAGCAGCATGGACAACACGCAGGGTGGCCACTTGGGCTTCCCTAAAACAGAGGACTGCTTTAGTATAAGGGAACTGGAAAAGGAAGAGCACACAGTTGCCATGGTGATGGTAACAAAGCCAGTCTTCCTATGGAAGGTCATTCATTCTCATCTTGGACATAATGTCTACAATTACTCACCATGTGTATGAGTGGGATCTCTGTGCCCTACCTGTAGATGCTGGAAAAGTAGCTTTGGAAAAGGTCTCTTACAGAATTATACTGCCAAGTGGTACTTTTGCGTGTTATGTTTGGGAATAATAACTTACTAATGAAAGGTGTATTTGGTGCTATCCTTGGGGTAAGTGTAATAGGCACCTTTCCCCACCCAAATCATCTGATCCAGCCCCAATATCCAAAAAGCTACACCCAACTGAGTCCATACAGCCTAGATTATAGTGTGCCACATGCAAGAAGCAAATTAGTGGCCTTTTAAAGGTTTAGGTGACTAAAATTCTCTTCAGCGATAAACCTAACTTTCAGATACACCTTCAAAATGTTTTTAATCGCTTTGTTTAATTTAATTTACTCATATTAAACTGATTCATATTTCCTTCATTTATAAGGGAAGTGTTTTCTCTCTTTTGAAATGTCCAACCATCACTTCTAATGGGTGCAGCATTCTAGCTTAGAAAGGGTATCAAACTCAAAGCAGGTTACCAATTCTCTATGTGTATAATAAACATATATCAAACAAAATTAAAAATGACAATAAATTAGCATAAGCCATAGACAGAAGTAAAGGCAGCACTGCAATAACCACATCAGCAACAGCAGACTCTGCATGAAGACTGGTAAACCAATGATGTGATGCAGAATGTCTGCTCCTGGGTAATATGGAAAGAGAACGAAGGTGACCCATGAATGCGAATCCACTTCCTTTCAAGGTCCCCAGTTAAACTAAAGCCACTTTCCCATGCATTCCAAACATTCATTCACATAAACGTACAAATGTGCCTGAATAACACATACGGACACTTCTGGGGATGATTCATACAATCATTTCCTTCAGTTCCTATAAATTATTCTGGTTATCTTAGTCATCAAAGTTCAGTCCTGGGATCACTAGAAATAATGTTTAGCGGTTTCTACCTCCTGAGATTTCACACATCAGGTAAACATAAGGACTAGAAACTTGTGTTGTTGTTGTTCTACTGGAATCAGAATAAAAAGGGTCTACTTGATGTATTTCTTCAGTACCAAACTTTTTGCTCATATGGAAGGATTACAAATGCGGAGAATACACACAGCCTTAATTATACCTTCAATGGCCTTCTATAGCCTTCCAGATTGTTATGTTTTGTCAAGAAAAAAATGGGCTTCCGTGTGGCCATTCATAGCCACTGCAATGAGTTCTTGCATAAATCCTTTCAAAGGGTCTTATGCAGGAAACAGTTCTGTGCCCCGTGTTCCTTTCCTTGTTCCAAGCATAATGTTTACCACACATGATTCACAGTAGACTGGATTCGGCTTCAGTTATGCCAGTGTAAACCTGGAACATTTCCAATGAAATCAGAACATTTTTTAAAAAACGAATATCATCAACTGATGTGCCTTGATCAGATCTGTTGTGCCTTTTGTAAACATGAAGCCACTGAGAAGCCATGTTAATTTCCACCTTCAGAGTTGATGGAGCATCTCAAAAGAGGGCAATAACTCACTGCTTGAGCCAGTAATTACTTCCAGGATACGAAATCTCTCCTCTTGCATAATTTCCCAATAAATTGTCCAGAGAGCAGGATCTTAATGTGGAAAATCTTTTAATTATTTATTTAGTCAGTCTGAGATTTTGGTATACAAAGCATCAACTTTTCTTATCGAACTGTAGATTTTCCTCAGTAATGCTGCAATCCTGGTTATGTCTGCTCAGGCAAGGAGAGGATTGTAGCCTAGGCTGCCTGCATCTGCCACAAGCAGTGGGGGGAAAGAGCAATTTCGGAAGGACAAATCCATCACTTCTGGTTTCTCATTTTCCCAATCATAAATTCAGTTTAGTTTGAAAATTCACCCTGTCTTCAGTTTATCCAGAAATGTAAATAAAAAGCTTATGCATAAGCAATCACTAGATATTTTGTGCATGTTTCTCCTAACACGTTGTGGGGATATTTTGCATAAGAGACACTTTTGGCAGTTTTCCTTATATAAAACATTTTTAAAAGCTCTTCCCCTTAAAATATACATTTTAGTACACAGCTTTTAACTGGTATGCACTTCCAAATTCAGAGAAGTGCAAATTTTGGAGGACAACTTCGTTTCAGTTCATATAGTGTTTCAAGATGCAACACTAGGTAACTTTGCAATAAAATGCACACTGATTGAATCCCCACCCCCACCCCCATTGCTGGGAACAATTGCTGAGGCCCACCTGTCATTTACCAGAGGAACAAGGGCCTCTGGGTAAATGTTCCACCTCCATCCTCTGAAGAACAGCCCTGCAGCCCCAGCTGGAGGGAAAAACATGTTAACAACTCAACACTTCATCCTGTCATTGCTGCAGGGATCTCCCTTCCTTGCCTTTCCCCGCTCCACACCCCTTCCCTTGTGTGTCTTGCTTTGCTAGTTCATATGCTGGGGGGGGGGGGGGGGGGGGTGGAGACCAGTATCTCAGTTTGCACTATATTCAGCACCTGCAGCCAGCATGCTGTTCTGCATTGTAATGCTCAGGAGCCACAGTGAGAGGCACATGCAAACACACACGCCTGCTGAAAAGTAGGGTGAAAATTCACAAATCAAATACATTCTAGTCCTCAAAAGCATCCTACCATGGACCTGATTTCTTAGAAGCAGCAAAAGACATAGGAGTGATGGATCCTTCCTTTCTTCCTTTATGCTGAAAGGCATAATATGACCCTGAAAAAGATTCTAAGAGGGAAAGGAGGCCTCAGACGTGTGTGTGTGTGTGTGTGTGTGTGTGTGTGTGTGTGTGTGTGTGGTTTCATTATATTTAATTGCATTTCTGAAGCCAAAGTGCATGAGACCAGCTTTTTTGCCCAAAGGTCTTGCCTGCCAGGATGGGCTGGCTTGAAGGCAGCGGTGGGCATAGTCAGGGCCTGCACCCCTTCACAGACTCTCTCCACCCGGCTTGCTGAACAGTGGATTGTAGGACCCCGATCCAGAACATGCATCCAATCCAGATCAAGGCCCACTGCCATGTTCCTGCTGAAAATAGCCTCCCAACACATGCACTACTGGCCCTCCAAAGCGCCCTATAAGGCGACTGCCATTATCAAGAAGAAAGCGGTAAGTGATCTATCTCCTCTCAGTGCAAATACAACACAAATCGGTCTTTGCCTGAAGGCTCCCGCAAAATGGGTAAGGCTGGTGGCTCCTTAGAAGAAGGCCTTGTCAGTTGTGGCACCCTGCTTGTGGAAGGTGCTCCCCAGAGAAACTCTCCTGGTGCTTAAATGGATCTTTTCAGTGCTTTGGGAAGGCCTTCCTATTTTGCCAGGCCCTTGAGACTCCGGAAGCCATCCATATCAGGCAATCAAAGACCGGTGTTCAGAGAATGAGCAGAACTATCCTGCAAGCATGCAGAGGTTGGTGCCAGCTTGGCACATTCCATTGGACCCTCCGTGGGAAGGTTGCCAAGGAAGTTGCCAGTCCTCATGTCTGTAGAGGCTGAGGACCCAGCTCCACCTCCGTTCATTTGCGAATACTGTCTTAGCCTGGACATTGCAGTGTCTGTAAGGACTTGTCCAGCCTAACCTAAGCAATTGTTCTAACCTAAGCAATTAAGTTGTTCTAACCTAAGCAATTACCTGCCAGAGATGGCTGCTGGCAAGCCTTTGGCCTGCACATGTTATTAGGGATAATTTTCACCTTGTGATGCTAGCGTACGGGGGCACGTCACCTCATGCTTATTGTAGCAGATGGTGGAAGGAAGACTTCTGGGTGATTTGCAGTAGATTCAAAAGGTTTTCTGGCTCCCAGTCATTTAACAATAGCAAGTAAAAGGAACAGTTCATGACAAAATTCCTTGCCATAGTTGGCGTTGTGCTGAGTTTGTATTTCCTAGCCTCAGTTTTCCTCACCTGTTAAATGGTAATATTATTCGCTTCCTTTTGGCCAGGTGATGATAGTTTGACCTGCCAGAACTCTACTGTTTTGGCTAACATTTGTCCTGTATGTAATTGACCATTTTTGAGCAGGAGTATGGAGATAGTAATGGTCTCCCAACTCCAGATAGGCTTGAATAATATTTATTATCCAGATCCAATTGCGTCTGGCTTCTGGCCTGGTTCTACAGCACAAATGTTGATGATTTGTTTGTTGGGTCTACATTAGGTAGGGAGTGCAACCTCGTAGGCTCTTCTGGAGGTCTTAGTGGTCTCTCGATGCCCACGTTGGCAATGCATTTTAATTTCCAATGAATGAACATCAGCAATCGAATTAAGCATTTCTGCAAATGGTTTTAGGGTTGCCCTATGTCCAGTGTCATCAGTGCCCCTGCCCAAACTCCTCAGTAGTACCCTTGGGACATGATGATTGATAAGTGAGCCGGTACCTTATTTTGTCCCCCAGCCCAGCAGAATGCCTGTCCATTCCAGATGTCCTCACCTGTGCAGAATGAATAGACCTTGTCAGGCCAGGTGGACAGCAGCAGGTCCCTCCCTCCTACTCATGCCCACTCAGTGGGACACCTGGATCGGGCCCCCAGAGATACACTGGATGTGGACTCAGGCTTCCCTGATGCCACCACCATGCGTATTTCTTCTTGAAGCACCATCATCTCTCACAATGGTTTCGGACATGGCCAAATTCTGGTGAATGCAAAAAGTCACGTACCATTTACTCCACTTGGTCTCAGTAGGAGACTAGTTTTAGATGACCAGTTTTAGATGGATAAGCAAGCATATACTTCTGTTCAGGCAGGGCTGATTTCACTGGGGACTGGAAACTCTGATTCACACTGAAAATTGGTTGAATTATTATTCCTCTTTACTCATATAGTGTACTGCATCTTTTTTTCCATTACAGCTAATGAGCTACAGGTCACACTGTGTAACAACTGAGATTATATATATATATTTATTTTGGCTCCTCTGGTTCTGATCTTTTGGAGAAGATGCCAGTATTCTGGCTCATTTCCTTATGGGATTATTTTGACACACACCATGCTCTTCAAACTGCTCTTTCAGTGTTGAAAACAAAATCATTCATACGCACATATGGGTGGCAGGCAGGTAGGGAGAAAAGAAGCAAGAAAAGCCATCAAAAAGACCTGTTTCCCCAGCCATGGACAGTATCACCTATCAGTACAAGCAGCTACCTAAATCTAGTTCAGAGGTACCTTTCCCAGCCCGTGGACTTCCAGATAATTAGGGCTTCAGTTCCACAGTCAGTGATCCAGAATGCTTGGGGTTTGTTGGCCTCCCTCAACCTAACCTTTGGAAACAGTTCTCAGCCATCACGGGACTGGCTCCAGATTTGAACGGGAGCACTGCAACGTGTCCTTCAGGTAGTGCTTCTCACCCAGCACACACATGAGTGGGATTTACCCCGGTCAAGACCATTTCAATGCCCCAAGAAGTTCCAAAGCACTGGTATGTCAACAGCATTGGAAGAAACTAACATGTTGGATTCTGTCAGCTGGTGCTGATGGCTCACCTGGGAAAAGGTGTTCTTAGGGTAGGCAGCGGGGTGGCCATGCTGAGGCACTGGGGCCCCAGCAGTGGTCCGAGGATGCTTTCTCTTGATATTTGCTCAGAACAATTACCTGAGATCCTTTTAGGCATCCTACCTTTTAGGTTTGTCACTCTTAGGCAGGTTGAAACCTTTAAAATAAACCATGAAAACTACTTTATAAAACAGACTACAACATGAAAATAGCACGGCAGTAAAAACACAACTGTGATAAGAGTAGCATTGAAACGGACTCAAACTATGTTGGGAAAGGCCTAAAAACACTTAGCCATTGAAGGTCAGAGTAGGTGCCAAGTAAGACTTTCTTGGGGGGAGGGGTCCAAAACCCAGAGACTTCACAGGACTGGTTGAAAACACTGTGCTTCCTCTTACGGCAAGTCAAAGACATCTGAGGCAACACGAAGAAACAAAAGAGGCCTCAAAAATATCTCTCTGTGAGAGTAACAATGCAGTAAGAACAGATGAAATAATTATCACCATGTTGCCATTTCAAGGCATGAAATGATCTGCTGCCTTAGGTAGCGGTCTCATTCTCCCTGGCCAGTGGGGCAGTGCATCCAGGTTGGGCTGTAGTCTGACATTTGGGGACCTATCCATGGTGCTGAACCCACCTGGGAGATTGAGGTGGAGCCCCATGGATAAGTATTTAAAAGTACTAGCTGAAACCCGGAGTGCATACCCCACCACCACCATGGGAACCACTGCCCCCCATTGTTACCACAGTCAAGAAGGTGCTCTTTCTGACACACCTTCCCCCACCTAGGAAGGTGGCAGCGTCTGGAGACCGGCCTCCAAATATGACTTAAATGTACAGGCAGGTTTGTGTGGGAGCAGGTGGTTCATTAGATGTTTGCCTGCCAAACCACAGAGGACTTTAAGGCTAAGTGCATCTAGATTATAGGCGCAACCTAATTAGGGTGATGTATGTAAGTGCTCAAAATATAACTCAAGTGGGAAGTCTTTCTTTTAAAAATCAGACTCATTGAATAAGATCAACAATTGGGATGCCACATTTTTCAGTCTGTCTATTCCTGTACACTTTTGAATCACTGCAAGTAAAGTATGGAGACTTGCTCAGAAATTTGCCCTTTTCACTACTCTTGAAATTGCTTTCATTCATTGGTCCTAATGAAAGTCAGCAGGCTGGCCTTTTCCAACCTGGTTTCCCTTGGTGTTGTGGAGTTCACCTCCCATCAGCCCCAGCCAGCATGACTAATGGTCAAGAATTCTGGGGACTGCGGTCCAGGAGCTCAGGAAGTTACCAGGTTAGGGAAGGCTGCCGTAGGTATTTCCTGATGGTGAGGCCTTTGGCAGTGATTGGTGGAGGTGCCCCAGTGTGAGAAGGCTCCGGACAGGAGAAGGCCCTGGAGAAGCAGAAGAACGAGGGGCCAGAGAAGGTTCTTAAGGCAAGAGACA